TTGGGTTTTTCAAATGCAATAACAGAATTGTTGTAAATTAAAATAAAAAACTTTTTTTGCTTGCGTATGTAAATGACTTTTGATGTGTTCTTTGATCACATTTTCATGTTGCATAAAGGTGTTTTTTTTATTTTTTTTTTTTTATTTATAAATATAGCTTTTGTCTGAACGTAAGTGTGTACAGTAACATCCATTCAGCACCGAGGGTGATTTGAAACCTGTACCTTGTATTGTTTGCTACTGAATGAACTGATTGTTAAAAGTACTAAGTTGAAAAAAGATCCTACTGTTGTGTTTTGGTGATTAAACCAAATGTTCTCAGTACATATCACAATGATCTTGTGTTCTTAAACAATGATTGTGGAATGAAAATATGTGCAACTACAATGAAATCATGAGATCAGCCTTTGACTGAATGACTAGTGGTATTACAAGTGTGATCAGTTTAAAGTTTTGTACTAAGTTTTGAAAATATACACCTTACCTATGAAAATAGTACCAAACCAATAAAAAAAACTGTATTCAATACATTCAGTAGGAAATTTGTCTTTTTGTGTCTGGCGAGCCACTGATGTCTGTGAAAGCTCAATTTTATGCACCTTAATCAGCAAATCATATTTAATTTCTCGTAAAAGAAGCAAGCTTGATTTCCATTGTATTTCGATTGCTTACAGAATTGACACTTTAAAGGAGTTCCATCATAGACGTTGTAGTTTTGCTTCAAATATTGATTGAAATGTTTTGATGACGAATTTTTATTCAGACAACAGGAAATAGTGCAAAGTACAAACGAGTGAAATAAATTCATATTTATCAAGCAGTTGTTACTGCATAAAGATCACACTACTGCTGCTGTGAAAACATGTGACTTATGAGTGAAGCACGCCTTGCCGGAAATTCTTGTGAATCACCTCTCATGACACTATGAATCCAGGGCAGGTAGGCAGAAATCTTTGTGTAGACCGCGTGCTCTTCTACAGAACAAGCCTTGTCAAAGGAGAGGATGCCCGCAGCATACACCGTTTCGGTGTTGGGGTTCAGGAATGCAAGAGCACCGCCTGCATCGCCAAAGCACACGTTTTCCTGGTGCTTACTGGGTCCCGTGCAGAACTGTTTGTCATCCACGTTTGGTGTACTTGCAAGAACCTTTGCTTGGTAGTTACCCTTGCATGACCGTACAGGCAGAGAGAGAAACTTGAGTACTGGAGCAGGGGTAAAAAGTCTCCCCCAGCCCCACCCTGCGATGATGCCTTTCTCTTCTTCCTTTTCTTCCTGGTTATCTCCAGTCTCAGGAAGTGGGATGGGCATTACAGACTCACTAAATTTGACTGGCTTCTTCAGTTTGATCAGAGCAATGTCATTGTCCCATTCGGATGTGTTCTGAAAGTCTGGATGCAAAAACACCTGCAAGATAAAACCATGTCAATGATCAACCATATTATGCAACAATTACCTCCCCTTTATCAATTTCTTGATGTACTAGGTACCTACAAAATGAGCTTCTTACAATGACACACTGCTCCCAAAAGTGTCTGGAAAATTAGGCCACTCTTAGAAGGCATTCATTTCATTGCATCATATGCCACCAAATTTGATATTTTGTTATCTGTGTGTCTAAGTGACACTGACATTCATGCAAGCATAGCTTCCAAATAAGTTTAGGGTCATTGTACTGTATGTTATCTGCATACACAAAAGGGCTTTTCACTCTCCAGCCTGAAATTTGGCACACTTATTTGGGGTCACCTTGAATAGTAATCTGTCCAAGTGTTTGAAGTCTCTAGGACCAACTCTATAACACCGCCACCAGTTCAAATATACAATATTATTTTTGTTATAACTTTTGAATCCTTTGTCCTTAAAACTAAATTCACCTCATTACTCTTCTCCTGCTGATCATATTCAATATCATATATTAAGACTCTGTCCATTACAGTAGCTGCCAGTAGTTTAAATGTACTCTATAAAATTTTTTCCCTCTGTGTGTGTTTCCCTGTATTTCCCAATTTTTGTGTGTGTGACCCTGGACCACAAAACCAGTCTTAAGTCACTTGGGTATATTTTTAGCAATAGCAAAAAAAAAAACTTGTATGGATCAAAATTATAGATTTTTCTTTTATGCCAAACATTATTAGGATATTACGTAAAGATCATGTTCCATGAAGATATTTTGTAAATTTCCTACCGTAAATATATCAAAACTTAATCTCCCTCAGATTCCAGATTTTCAAATAGTTGTATGTGCCAAATATTGTCCTATCCTAACAAACCATACATCAACGGAAAGCTTATTTATTCAGCTTTCAGATGATGTATAAATCTCAATTTCCAAAAAATTGCCCCTTATGAGTGGTTTCGTGGTCCAGGGTCACATATATATAATGCTTTGACATACAGTATCAGCACAGGCATTGACAGTATGCCCTGAAGCCACCTGAGAAGTTTGAAAACAGCGCCACCTATCGTTCCAAAGATTTTTAAGCTATTCTTTGTACTGTAGCACTTTAACCATAAGTGTCTTTATATGTAGATACACAAATATATGGTGATTATGATTTAGCAAATTAGCTTGGTTTGGAATTTGGTGGGTTGCGTGGATATTTACCTTTTCCACGGCTACTTCTGTAGAGGCGTTTGCATGAACACGTTTGCTGATTCCAAGATAGACTTTTGGGATAAGTGGTTCTTGTCCTCTTGTCTGGCTTTGATTCTTTCCTACAAATAAATTGCGGCCAGCAGTCAGTACCCACTGCTCAGCTATCAGGGCTCCTCCAGCAAAACCTCCATCCAGTATGTTCTCACTGAGGTACACCATTGCCTGCCAGGGGACGGATGCGGTCAGTAATCCCCCCACCATTCGTTTGGGGCGTAGGGCTGAAATCCTGTGAGCTGTATAAATGAGAATGAGATCTCTATTATGCAGCTGTTGATAGTCATTTTTGTGCTACAGCTGAACATAACTAGAAAATGCGTATTTGTAACACATTACATGCTTCACAACTACATTTAAAATTTTATGAAAAAAAGAAAAGACGTCAGTGGTGCTTGGTAAAATTTTGTTATGCTCTTGTTAAGGTTTTCAGAGTTTTTTTTATGTTACAGTGCTGTTGTAAATTGATAGGATTTTGGCCTGTATAATATGGTAAGTTGCATTTGTTGTATAGAAAGTTTTAATGATGAACTACATTCGTGGTTACACTGTAGCCAATGACACAAGGATGTTTTAAAATGTTTTTTTGTATTACAATAAATTCCATAAGCACTTTACTGCTTTAACTGGAGCTGAGTATTGGGTCATGTCTGATGAGGAGCGTTTCTGTTACCCGAAACATGTTCTCTGACTCTATCCAAAGCAAGAGACGCATCTGGCAGGCAAGTAATAGTGCCCAAGAGCAGCACAGCCACAGATAGCCTAGAGACAAAAAAAACAAAAAACATCATCAACGAGAAATAATCTGTTCATTTCAGAGGAACACTTGTTTGAACAGATGTTAATTAATAATGCATTATGCATTGCAGTGAAATTGCAATTCGAATGGTAAATTATGCAATACTTGATCATAACTTAATCTCCCTCAGATTCCAGATTTTCAAATAGTTGTATGTGCCAAATATTGTCCTATCCTAACAAACCATACATCAACGGAAAGCTTATTTATTCAGCTTTCAGATGATGTATAAATCTCAATTTCCAAAAAATTGCCCCTTATGAGTGGTTTCGTGGTCCAGGGTCACATATATATAATGCTTTGACATACAGTATCAGCACAGGCATTGACAGTATGCCCTGAAGCCACCTGAGAAGTTTGAAAACAGCGCCACCTATCGTTCCAAAGATTTTTAAGCTATTCTTTGTACTGTAGCACTTTAACCATAAGTGTCTTTATATGTAGATACACAAATATATGGTGATTATGATTTAGCAAATTAGCTTGGTTTGGAATTTGGTGGGTTGCGTGGATATTTACCTTTTCCACGGCTACTTCTGTAGAGGCGTTTGCATGAACACGTTTGCTGATTCCAAGATAGACTTTTGGGATAAGTGGTTCTTGTCCTCTTGTCTGGCTTTGATTCTTTCCTACAAATAAATTGCGGCCAGCAGTCAGTACCCACTGCTCAGCTATCAGGGCTCCTCCAGCAAAACCTCCATCCAGTATGTTCTCACTGAGGTACACCATTGCCTGCCAGGGGACGGATGCGGTCAGTAATCCCCCCACCATTCGTTTGGGGCGTAGGGCTGAAATCCTGTGAGCTGTATAAATGAGAATGAGATCTCTATTATGCAGCTGTTGATAGTCATTTTTGTGCTACAGCTGAACATAACTAGAAAATGCGTATTTGTAACACATTACATGCTTCACAACTACATTTAAAATTTTATGAAAAAAAGAAAAGACGTCAGTGGTGCTTGGTAAAATTTTGTTATGCTCTTGTTAAGGTTTTCAGAGTTTTTTTTATGTTACAGTGCTGTTGTAAATTGATAGGATTTTGGCCTGTATAATATGGTAAGTTGCATTTGTTGTATAGAAAGTTTTAATGATGAACTACATTCGTGGTTACACTGTAGCCAATGACACAAGGATGTTTTAAAATGTTTTTTTGTATTACAATAAATTCCATAAGCACTTTACTGCTTTAACTGGAGCTGAGTATTGGGTCATGTCTGATGAGGAGCGTTTCTGTTACCCGAAACATGTTCTCTGACTCTATCCAAAGCAAGAGACGCATCTGGCAGGCAAGTAATAGTGCCCAAGAGCAGCACAGCCACAGATAGCCTAGAGACAAAAAAAACAAAAAACATCATCAACGAGAAATAATCTGTTCATTTCAGAGGAACACTTGTTTGAACAGATGTTAATTAATAATGCATTATGCATTGCAGTGAAATTGCAATTCGAATGGTAAATTATGCAATACTTGATCATTATTTGAAACATAATTTAAATTTTAGGAAACAAAACAGAAACTTACCACCTCATGATGAAAATGTATTGTAAAAGGAGCTGTCTTGTATTGTATTGCGGTCGTTGAGGCTCTGGCATTTATATGAGGTTGATACAGCTAAAAAAAAAACTAATCTAAACTCACGGATTACCTAATCAGGGAAATTTATCTGTTTGAATGTTGACACTATCCAGGTTAAAGGTAGATAAGAGGTTAAGTTAGCAAAACTTTCCAAAGGCAGCACATAGGTCCTACAGTTCAGTTTGCATTTAAAGAACAGACAACACTCGTGTGATTTTGTAATCCCATAGAAAAAAAAGCAATCTATTTGCAAAATGATGCACACCTTGGCTGAAATACAGATTCATCAAATGACAGTGCCAGTAAGTACAAGTTTTGTAAACCCCAAAATCAGGGTTTTGCAATGTGCAATACAATGTTGCAATAAGTTGTAATGATTTTAAAGAGATGTTTTTTGATAAATTGATTTAGGTTTAAGTTAATATTTTCTTAATGTTCTTCATAGACTCACGTGTTTGTAGATTTCTGAAAGTATTAGTAATAAGCTGCATTATACAGTATATCCACACATTTTATACTCTTCATCCACTGTGTTATAGCACACTGCACTTCAGATATATATTTTTAAGCTAAACTAAACTTGTACTCTAACATTAATATGATTAGTGCATTTTTTAAATCTCTTTTCAAATGTAATCCATATTGACTTTATTGAAGGTGAATAATACTCAAGGAACACTGTGAATGTATGAATGCTTTTATTTTACTCTTCACCATTATTTTACGAACACATTTTGTAAGCACAACCATATTTGTTTGGCCCATGTGAAATAAAGGGCAAGGGCAAAATTACCCAAGAATGTGGTAATGCAGTCTTGAGAGTGAACAACATTAACATAGATTACATTTCCTGGCAACACTAGAAATAGGTCTCATTTGTTAACTTTAGTTAATGCAGTAATTAACATTAACTAACTATGAGCAATATATTTTTACAGCATTTATTAACTTTTGTTAATGTTAGTTAATAAAAAATACAGTTGTTAATTGTTCATGTTAGTCTAAGTGCATTAACATTAACAAAATTCGTTTTTAAAAATGTTTTTGTAAATATAACTAATGTAGTTAACAAATGAAATCTTACTTTCAGTCAGAAGCTATAGTGCACAGAGAGTCAGTTTTTAATACTAAAAGTAGGTCAAATGTGTTTGCTCTCATTTTCAGCCTGGACGGAGACAACTGAAATGGACTTGTTTTGACCGGTTTTTAATTACTTGCATGACACCCTGCAGTGCTGGGGCAGTAGTGTAGTGGTCAGAAAGATTAGGGCAGATAACGGAAATGTTTTGAATGTAATGAACTATTAATGACATGCAGTAGGCTATGCCATCTCACAAGTGTATTAGAGATGTAAGTGGGTCATATCTGCCGTCATTAGCCTGCAGCCAAACTCAAAATATAACCTTTCAGCTCTTGCTGAAGACCTTACTGCTATCATAAATGACTTGAATTATGAAAATTTACTTTAATTATAAAAAGGTTAAAAATTATTTACTTCAAGTTATGTTATCATCAGTGATGGGCAACATTACTGTTAAAAGTACATATTACATTATTAATATTCCAAAATGTAATTAATCTTAATTTGATAAATAAATAAAACTACCTCAAACACTCTCAGCTTTACTTGAAAATGTGAACATTTATCAAAGCGTGGAGATATGGCTTCACTGACAGAGCTGGGGAAATGCACCCATTGTGTAATCACCTTAATGGTGCATGCCAGCATGAATGTTTTTGACCAATATTTATTTGGGGGATTGGCAGAATGTGTTCATACATTTTGCCAACAGGAGAACGGAAAGTACACATACGTCTAGTCTTAATAGGATTACTTTGACTGGCACATTCAGACTTTTTTTTTTTTTCATTCCTGTACACATTTATTTTCGGATGCTAAATGCAATTTGATTCCAGAGAGGAGAGGTTGTTAATCATTCATGATATTAATGTCTAGCCCAATTTAGTCAGTTAGTACTTTTTCATTTAATCTTTAGAGAATAATGTAAGTGCATTATAAATTGCCTTTCCCTTACTCAGACATGCAAAATTATCTGATCCTACAGGAGGTACTCTCCTAGGATTACATTTAAATATGCACAACTTTCTGATTCTATTTGCACACTGTAAAATCCAATAGTTTACCTTACTTAGATTTAATTAGTTATCTTTACTTAGTTGTTATACTTACTAGGTTTTATTAAGTTACAGCTACTTTCAAGGCAAATAAAACAATTTACTTACTGTTTTGAGTGACACTTACTTAAAATATTCTAGTAGCCACAAAGGAACCTGTATTAGACTGTATGAATGCATTGGTTGCTGTTACGGTACTAAATCACCTTAGAGTGTCAGTTACTACAAGTGATGTCCAGTGACCAAGAGAGTAATGAAACAGGCAGTTGTATCTCAGTTTTATCAATTTACTCTTTTAGAGGCTGAGTATCAAGAGATCAACTCCATATACTCACATACTCATGATTTAAAGAGATCACATAAGTGCAAATAAACATCCAAATAAGGAGCGTAGGCCTACACAAATAATAACTGAAAACAAATAGTTACAACAGATTTAGACCTCAAGGATACACAATCTTGCAATTATGCAGGGAGAAACAATGAGTACAACAGTCCTGGTTGATTTTCACAGTCGCAGGAAACATTCAGATCTATGGTTAACAGTGAACTTGGGCGTTGAGCTGTAGTCTCGGGTCCACTGATGCACAATATCCGATGAGAATAAATGCAAAGGTCCACAAAATGTCTATGAATGTTTGTTACTGCAAACGAATCTTGTTCGTGTGGTGTGTATAATTCTTGAGTGTGGTTCTACAATACACAAATGAAACTAATTAGTAACAGAAAGTACGAAATGTGCAATTAATGCTAACAGCTCAAAGGAAAATTGCTGAGTCACAGACAGCTCCGTAATGGCGATCGTACTCGTCACAATTAGCACAATATTTCACATAATAAACAATCATACTTTAGTATTAAACAAAATATAACTTAACAGCAGTATATCAACGAAAACAATATGAACCTTTAAAATAACACTCACTGTCTTCAATGACACACATTCAAAATCCTCGCGAGGCAAACTTCGGCGAGAGATTATTAACGGGAACGCACCATCAGCCGTCGATCAAGATCACAAATATTCTCCCTACAGTTCACAACGTGAAATCGCTGCAGGATGACATTTTAGTTCGAATTAATTCACGACTTTCATATGCGACAGCAAGACCTTCCGATTCTCTCCGTCACGACTGAACTTCTGCCCTCTCCCTTCCGATACTCTCGCGCAATCTCTGAATAAACCACGCCTACTCAATGAAAATAAATGACCAATCTGACCGCTGTACAGCCCTTTTAATATAAAGAACATGAACTGAACATGGCTTTTTTACAGCCGCCCCCAAATTTGGTATGCAAATTTGACAGTAGTATTGTTTATGATATACTCTCTGAATCTGGGGGCAACGTTGGCAATTCGATCAACTTAGCCACTGGTCTGGTGTATGTATGATCTTTCACTTTGACCACTGCTCAGCAATGCATCATGAAGTCAGAGTTATTTGTTTTCAAGGGAAAAAAGTAATAAATAGGTTGCTTTTAGAAGGTGACCTATTTTGTGTGTGTGTGCGTGCGTGCTGGACACAAATTTGTATAATAACATGGGTATGACATTGGTATTACAACGAGAAGGTGATTTATGAGGACATTTTCAGTGTCCCCGTAAAGTGAGTGTGAGAGAACTGTTCCAAATTTAGTTTTTCACAAACACCTTGAGATGATTTTAATTGGGTTTATATAATCCTTAAATCGTGTGTTGTAAGATACTAAGGTCACACACAGACTTAAACATTCAGCACGTGAATCACAAAAATGGTAACAATTCAATTTCATTTATTTTCATTAATTGTAACAATAACCATTTTATTTGGTCTTTTTGTTGTGCTACTACTGACACAAGACAGCAAATAAAATTGGCAAATAAAATCAACAACTGTAAAACAAAGCAACTGCATAATTTATTCATGCCACAATGCACTCTGGGAGTCAGTGAGTAGCTATACTAAGTCATGAGTAAACCTAAATGAAAGGATCAAGTACCCCCTACAGTTATTTTTTAGTTACTAGAACTCTCCTGTAAGTAAACTATACTAAGCATTTGTCAGTACAACATACTATTCCTATTTCACTTTACTTAGTTTTTTCAAGGCAATCGGTTTGCATGCTTTTTTTAAGTAAGCCCAACTAATTAGATTTTACAGTGCATATTCTATGAGACACACACAGATAAAACGACATAGCTTTGATAATAAAACTAAGCATTTAAATACTATAAGACATACTATTCGCATATATAGAGTGAAAACTGATATTTATAATAAATACTGTTATCATCTCACTGAGTTACATAACAAGCTCTCAGAATTTACTTTTTGGTCATATAAATATCAGCAACTGCACCAAGGTGCACTAATATGTTTTTGCCTCTATGGGCTCCATATTGTCATATACTGTATCGTAATATGAACCATAAAAGCCTGATGTATATAAAAAACAAAAAAACACACATGCTTTTTTTCACTCGGAACACCTTAATAACTACATAGTAATGCCTTGGCAAACACCCACAACATTTTTTTGCATGCAAAAACAGCACTCTTGTGAAAAGAGTGCTGACTCTATTTGTTCTATAAGAAATCTATTTTAAAAAAGAACATATGCAAATGTTTCATAAGTAATTTTATTAAGAAGGCTTGATTAAACTTTTAATGACTGTGGAGGCATTCAGGAAAAAAAAGTGAAGTTGAAGGCCATTATAAACAATATAACCTCATCTGGTGATTAAGCCACTGGTGATACGCACATCCATTCAAAACATTTGCATTCAAGCTTTCTTTTAATTTTCCATTTTAAATGTAAAAAATACAATAAAAAATAAACAAATGTCCCCCGCTGTATCTGTGGGTGTATTTCTGCCTTTGTGTGTATTTTTATTTTATTTTATGAATGCTGTGGAAGAAAAACATACTGTAAGATGAGGTGAATAGAGAGTGAATGAAGCAGTGGCCTTTCTGC